ACAACATTTGGTTGATTATTTATAGACTAACAAAATCAGCTCACTTTTTGCCTATCAAGCAAATTGATTCGGTAGATAAATTGGCACGCGTATTATATGTGAAAGGAATTGTCAGATTGCATAGTATTCCAATGGTTATTATCTCTGATAGAGATGGTAGATTTACTTATAGGCTGTGGAAAAGCATTCATAAAAACTTGGGTACAAATCTGCACTTCAGTACAACTTTTCATTTTCAAACTAATGATCAACTTGAAAGAACCATTCAGGTACTGCAAGACCTATTAAGATTATGTGTTTTAGATTTTAGAGATAGTTGGGAGGAGCACATACCATTGATCAAATTTGCTTACAACAATAGCTATCAAGTATAGAAATAACACCATATGAAGCACTTTATGGTATAAAATATAGAACTCCCTTAACTTGGATTGAAGTAGAAAAAAGACAATTAATGGTCTAGAGTTAGTTAATAAACTAACAGAAAAAATCAGATTAATCAGAGACAAATTAAAAGCTACCTAGGATCGCCAGCAAAAGTATTATGACTCCAAGCACAAAGCAGCAGAGTTTGAAGTGGGTGACATTGTATTCTTAAAGGTTAAGCCTATGAAAGGTACAGCTATATTTGGTCATGGAGGCAAATTAAATCCTAGATATATATGACCTTTTGAAATTACTGAAAGAATTGAAAAAGTTGCTCATAGACTTGCTCTTTCAGCAGACATGTCAGATATTCATAATGTCTTTCACGTGTCACTGCTAAGAAAATGGGTTACAGATGCCCATCAGAGAATTTCACATGATGAAATTGATCTACAAAAGAATCTAATGTACTCTGAAGAACTAGAAAGACTAATAGGTTTTGATACTATACAACATAGGAATCGTCAAATCCCTTATGTCAAAGTGAAATGGAAATATAAATTAGATAAAGAGGTAACATGAAGTTTCCTCAGTTGTTTGATGATCCTTATAATAATAAATTTTGAGGACGAAATTTAAATGAGGGGTGATTTGTAATCCCCGAAATGCTTAAAATAAATGTAAGCATACACTTTTAGTTTCAGATATTTCATCTATTATATGAATAATTGATTATTATCTCGGTTACAATTAATTGGAAAAATAAATAAATAAAAATAATAAATAAGAAATCCTGATAATCATATTTTAAAGAAATGCTATAATTTTATTTCAATATTTCTATTTTATTCTTACTATAACTACAACACTTAACTTTGCATGCATTGGACTTAATTCATAGCACTTAACTTTGTATGTATTGGACTGATTTAAGGTTGGAAATCATGTGGTTGGGAAATGATAGAAGGCTGTTGTGCAGGCCGTGGATTAGTTGAGGGTTGAAGGAGGTGGACTGCTAGGTGGAGCTAAATTATGCAATGTGTTGCTTGAATTTGGAACTAGCGAAGGAAAATAGCTGAAGGACTGTTGTGATTGATATGGAACGATTGTAATTGCTGTAATAACTGCAAAACAATTGAATGGTGCATCTTTCATTCATTCCTCTCACTCATAAGTACCAAAGAAAGCTAAAGGAAGTTGGATTAAATGAAGAAGAGCATAATTGAAGTGGTATACAAAATGAGAAAGAATCTGAATACTTTAGGTGAACCAGTTTACCCCACTGTTCTGGAAGACGAGGTCAGATATCCAAATGAGGCTATAAGAATTAGTAACTATTCTATTGTTGCACTTCATCTTTTTACATTTATTTCAGTTTACCTTAATTTGTTTTATATGAATATGGACGAACATGTATGAAATTGTTTATGCAGTGAGTAATTTTTATCAATGTTAAAGATTTTGTAAATATAAAATGATAAATATTTATAAACTATTGAATGGCTAAAGGGCAGCAAAAGGGCAGTTAAAGCGTAGCAAAAGGGCAGCAAAAATGCAGCTAAAGGGAAGCTATGTCATCAAAACATATGTCATTAGGGCTAAAAAGAATGACTATAGGGAAAGTGAAATAAGTTATATATGGGAAATATGTCCGCATAAGTAAAGGTGAAAGATCCGACGAGGTAAGTCTACACTCTTAATTCTAAAAGTTGGGAAAATTAGACTCAACTCTGAATGAGAGAATAACTTCCATTCTAAAAGTTGGGAAGTTGACCCAACCTTGAATTGGAATGTTGAAAATGTGCAAAAGCTTATAGCCATCATAGGATTTATTTAAAGGTGTTAGACAGTTTTTGCAAGATGAATAATGCGGCTATGCCCTTTTTATACTCAATAGGCATTTCAATGTGTTTTTAATTAAATTAGTATTGTTAAGCATTTCTAAATTGTTAATAATATTATTATTAATTTTTATACATTAATTGTGTATTTTATTGAGCTTAGCTCATCAGCATAGTTGTACTGCAGGTAAGGGAAAGGAACCCATAGGGTAATAGGCACGAGGGAGGTGATCGTTCCTTTTGGTGTAAATATGTTTTGGTGTACAAAGATATCTTAAAGGAGATCTGAATGATGGCTATATAGACTTTTAGTTATGTAAGTAAATTTTAAAAGTTTTAGTATAGCTCTGTATTTACTTCAATTATTTTTTATGTTTATTAAGGGACATTACATGCTTCCCATTATTAATTATGGAATTTGATAGGTTGGCAAGTTAGGAGAATCTAAATAGATTTCTTTTATTCACTCTATTCTGAAAGTAGTGGCTCAGAATAGGTTTTAGTAAGAAGTAACTAGTTTAGATTTTTCTTCTCTGTTATACTCCTGATTGACTGTTAGGGCGTAGGCCAAGCTGGGGTGTGACATATTAATCATTTTTATTCAATTTCTATACGCTATTTGAGATATAAAAATTATTATATCATGTCTAACCACTGTCTATGTCCTATATTTTTAATAATTGACGTGACTTGAGTCCGTGTCATGTCCGTGCCGCCATGTCCATATGTGTGCATCATAGCCCAAGATCTAATTGAAGAATTAAACCTAACCTAAGTACCCCAACTTCAATTTACATATAAACTAGAGCCTTTGAACATCCAAAAGTATATAGAAATAAAAAGATACACAAAATTACAACTTAAATTTCTTCCCAAAAATAATTATTTATTACTACGGGTGTCAATATTTGTCACGACCCGAAAATCTGACTTGAACCTAACCTGAAAAATCTAGTTTTGGGTCAACCCATTTAGCAAACGGGTAGGGTTTGTGTTCCAATTTTTGATCTGTTTGAAAAATTGGATGGGGTTCGAGTCAACCCACTAACCCGAAAATGACTCACTAGCAGCACTAGACCGCTTGCAGGCCATTCCACACTGGACTGCATTCCTGCTTAAGAGTGACCCCTCACCGGACTGCATCACTACCTACGCGTGACCCTACACCATTCTTCGTCCCCTCATTCACGTGACCTTGCACCGAACCATATCCCCTCTTGCACGCAACCTCGCACAGGACCGCATCCCCTTCCGCGCGCAACCTGCACTAGACCATGTACCTCCTTCGTGCAACCTCACACCGAACCACGTTCGTCTTGCAAACGACCACACTTGCGCACGACCCTGCTTGTGAACGATCACTGCATCACGTCCTGACTCCTGCTTGCACATGCACCCATCGTCCTGCTAATCAAGTTGCATTAGGTCAACTCGTTAACTCGGCGGGTTAGGTACTATTTGGAATTTCTAACCAGTTTGTAATAACGGGTCATGTTGGAGTCGTGTCAAACTACAGTGAAATACCGGGTTTGACCCGCAACCCGTTTTTGACACCCCTATTTACAACAATCCAGAATACTTGTAAATCATCAAAATATATGAATAAAACTGGATTACGCTAACTCCTGACGGATTCAAATCAAACTCTTACTCAACCCGTTCTTTTTATTTTCCTAAAATAATAAATATCATATCATTGAGTGAGCAACGAGATGCTCAACAAACTATCCCAAAGTCCCATCATGGAGATCAATATTCATATTTCTAGTTTTACTAGTAAATGATTCAGATGGAATATGCAATTTTAACTTAAAATAATTTTAACACTTATAAAACATTAACATCGAGTTGCTCATGTTGTGTTTAATATTAACAAAAGAACGATATATGTATAGCTTGAACTTCAACATTCATAAAAAATATCATTTCAATGCCATCTGGTCCAGTGTCGTAGCGCTCGTAATGCCTTTTTGACACTTAACATTTTTCAATTCCAGACTTAAATCTTATTTAAACTTATAATAACTCTAAATTAAACATGCACAGGAAGGTTATGAAATTCTTACTAGTTCTAACAATGGACATAATAGAAGGTATCAAACTGATTCTTTGATCTTACCATTATGAAACAATAATTATCTTTTCTTGGCGAGTGACTACTTTACTAGAATCTTCTTGATTTCTTAAAATTATTATTAACCCGGAAATAATAATCTTGTTGGTGTGCTCACTTTTCATTCTGAATCCCTTATAACTGATCTTACGATTCATGTGTAATGCTGAACCTTATTGACTATATTATGCAATTTATGAACTTTTGTATGCTCTCTAGCACTCATAATTACTTTTTCATTTGCATCTTACAGTCTCTTTCAAACTCTCTATATGCCTTAAGCAGTCAATAAAGTTTATTGAGTTCCTTTTCCTTTTCTTTTAATTTAGATAGACTGATAAATTGATTGCTTTGGTATTGCGTGCATGATACTTAATTGGCCAATTGATCATTACAAGAACTGTTCAAAATGATTGAAAAATTACAAGAAGTCTTAGGGTATGCTAAGTTCGTTGGTCAGCCATTTTTCTCTTCCAATAATTTTTTTTTTAAATTTTCTCCAATGTGGATGTTATGTAGAAGGTTAGATTGAATGTGCCATTGAAACCTAAGCATGAATTGCACCCACTAGATCTATACCTATGGGTTTCAAATGTTAAGCAGTCTGCTATACATGATTTATTTACTGGAATTGCTGATGTGCCGATTTCCTTGCTTGTGTGCCTATTCTTACTCAACAGATTGATAATACAACTTGCATCCAGAGAAAGACCTATGCTTCAGCTCTCTCTATTATTTTAACATTAAGGTTGCCTGAGGTCATAGATAAAATTGACGAAATTCTGAGGTAAGTTTCTTTCTCATAATCTTGTCTCTGTATTTTGTTCAATTGAATTCAACTGAATTGTGTCTTCCACATAGCGTTTGCACTACCGTCATTCTGGGAGGAACAGAAGATTCTAGCAAGGAAGATTCCAGGTGAATTTCGCCAAGGCCCTGCTATTTCGAATACTTCTCTAGCTGTTCCTCATCTCATGGTTTGATAAATGAGTTGTTTAATGCAGTGGTGATGCCGCAAGCTCATCTTGGCCTAGCAATGAGAGCCTTGGCTATTACAATGGGGTCCCAAGCAAAGAGTTGCGTAGAAGACAAGTAAGAAACTATGTTTATTGTGTCTGATTTTGAAACTGTATTATATGTTTATATCTGAACAGATTCATAATATGTCAAAGATTGAGCTTCAAGCTTATTTCTTCCATGTCATTTCTCCTTTTTAGATCAAAGATTCCGATCCAATCAAACATCTCTCATTGCAGAGCATGCTACGAGACAACCTGAATACTTGTGCAGCTTTTCATGGGGAATCATCTTTCCATGAAGCTATGAGCAGGATGCATCCATCAGCATTTGCCCAATTACAGCAGGCATTAAAGATGGCATAAGATGTATCCTGCTTTCATTCGAAGCATTTTTTCCCTATAAATCACATAGGGTGAGTGATAAACTCCCTAATTGTGTTTGATCTATGAACCCTTTTGTTGGCTTCTAACATTTGGATCATTTCCAGGTGTGTTGTTCATTTTTGTTGGCTTTTGAAGAGTGTTCCATATATACAATGCTGTGGATTCTTTTATAGGTGAGTTTGATAGCTCTCATGACATCCAATATAAGGTCCCAAGCTTAGGGAATGAAGGGTTCTTCTTTGTAAGCTTGTTCTTTATTGTGTGATTGATCTGGTAAAAGGTTTTTTGGCCAACTAGATCGTGTCAAAGTTAGTGAGTGAAGCTGGCAATTTTTTTGTTGGTCCTGCTTCTTGTCAGAATGCAATTTGCAGTTGTATTTGGTTTACAAATATAATGAAAGTGGGAATTTGGCTTTGTACTTTGTGGTTTTGACATTTATTGCATAGTTATGGTTTTAACATTTGCCTAAATTGTAATATTTTTCTCTTTTTTTTTTTTTTTGAAAGAGTGCTTAAGCACAAATATGTGGATGATTTGGTTGATTGCATTAAGGCTATTAATATCATTTAAGTTGCATCAATTTTGATTTTTCAGGTATTTGATCGAGTGAAAATAAATGCAAAATTATTTAGAAAGATTTTGGAATATGCACCCATTAAATCATTTTCAATTTGTTTTGAATTTTTTTAAATCAGTCAAATTTTAAATAAATGATGCTATGAAAATCAATGCAATAGCTTAGAAATTAGGATAGGAATTTGGAATATAGTGATGCAAGATTAAATATGTTTTAGATGAATGTGATAAAGAACTTGCACATTTTAAATAAGAGCATTTAATAATTTTGAACGTTAGCCACTAAACGATAATAGAAAACTAAAGAGGGGTGGTTACGTTTAAGTTAAATCACATGCTAAGAATTCGATTCATCAAAGTAATTTAGAATTTCATTCAAATGTAAATTAAGTAGTTATTTAATAAAATCTCTAAGTTAACATTGAGATTAGAAAAATAGAAAATCAAAACTCAAATTCTATGTTTACTGAGTAAAGGCAGAGAGCTTGATACGATTCCTTGTGCTTGAATCATCACCTAAAAGAGCAAAGGATTAGAAGATAATTTGAATAGGGGAAAAAGTTCACCCTCCTTGAGGACTAGAAGTGAGTTGCCATTGAGCGTTAGCAAGCTGCTCTCGTTTGTTTCGGACAAGGTGAAGATGATTCGATCTAAGTATTCGTCTGCGGATATGTCAATCTTCGGGATGACGTCGAAGAATGTTGATCGGAGAATATCGACGTTTTTCTGCACGTTGTAAACGAATCAGAGTCATGATCAGGATAGATCATTCATCGATTTTGTAGGGTTGACGTGATGGAGATCGTGGTCTTTGTTTACCTTAAAGACTCTTCTTGAGAAGTAAGTTTCTCTCAAGGGTTTAAGTGGAGAAGAGGGAGGGAGGTGGTCGGGCCAATGAAAGAGGCTTGGGAAGAAAATAGGTTCATATTTTAGGAGGTAGGATGGAGGGATTTTTTGGGATTATTTACACTAATTAATTCTTAACTTTAGTAATAGTTAAATAGCAAAGGGATGAGAGGGGGGAGGGGCGAGTAGGATAGAGATATTGAGTTTGAATTATTTCTAAGAAAGAAGTTTGATTTTGGAAATAATTCCCAAAGGGGGCCTTGATGGGGCTGGCGGTATAAAGGGGGAGGATTTAGAGAAATTAAACAAGGTTTAATGCTTTCTTAAATATGGTTCTCTAATTAGGATATATGATTTAATTCCAATCCAAATCAAATTAATTTTCAATTTGATTTTGGAAACTTTCCTAAAAAAGAATTTAATTTCAGGAAATGTTTCAAATTCAAATTTGATTTTGGAATGATTGAAATTGTCACCTTCCAATGAGAGGACATGTGGAATAGGAAAGTAATAATGAGATTTGTAACTTTGGGAGCAAGGTGAACAAGGGAGTGACGGCTAGGTTAGGCTGGGGTTAGGTGGGGTGGTGGGAGTAGGTGGGTTACCCAATCAAGGTGAACCACTTAGCGTGGCCGATAACTAAGTGGAGGCGGGGGAAAGGGGAGTAGGCCGGTCGTGGGATGGGGAGGTAGCCGATGGAGAGGGCTTTGGGAAAGCCGGCGGTTTGGGTGGGGTGATTTGTGGTATAGAAAGGGCGAGGGAAAAGGAGGAAGAAAAGAGATATGAAGAACTAGCGACAAGCCCGGACTCTTCCAAAGCTGGTGGGTGATTTGCTTACGTCTCCAAGGGATTTCTCTCCCAAACTCTCTGAAGCTCTCACAAGAATTCAATATGCAGAAATTTCTTTTATATTCATTCATTACCTTTCAAAAGAAAACCTAAGGGCTATATATAGCCTCAAATAATGTACGGGAAAATAAAAGACAACTTAACCCTTTGGGCTTACACATGATCACCCTTAATTAAGGGGTAGAAAGGAAAAAAACAACTAAAGCAAACACAAAAATAAATAAATAAAAACAAGTACATATGAAGACTTAAAAATATATCGGCGCGATCGTGACCGTAGATCGGCGGCCACGCCTCTGATAAACTTTCCATGCTTCGATGTCCCCATCATATAAGTTATCGTAGAGATAAATTAATGAAATTAATTGATATTATGATTTGTAAGAAAATAAATATGTTATCATTCAGGAAACTAAATTTGTTGGACAGAAAGCTAAGAAGATTGATAATTTTGATTTTAAACTTTGGTATTCATGTAGAAGTCATACTAGAAATAGTGTACGTGTAATTATAGATAAGAGTCTAAAAGGATAATGATGTGAGAATTAATAAAATTTGACATAGAATTATAGCTTTAACGATTGTTATTGATGCTTAGATTATTAATATTATAAATGTTTATGCTCCTCAAGTAGATTTAGATAAGTGTTCAAAATTAAAATTTTGGAATAACTTTGAAGAATTAATACAAATAATACCTCTTGAAAAAAATTCTAAAAGAAATTGGGTTTGAATTATTTTTAAGAGAGAAGTTTGATTTTGGAAATAATTCCCAAAGGGGTCCTTGATGGGGCCGGCAGCATAGAGGGGGAGGATTTGGAGAAACTAAACAAGGTTTAATGCTTTTTAAATAGTGTTCTCTAATTAGGATATATGATTTAATTCCAATCCAAATAAAATTAATTTTCAATTTGATTTTGGAAACTTTCCTAAAAAAATAATTATATTTCAAGAAACGTTTCAAATTCAAATTTGATTTTGGAATGATTGAAATTGTCACCTTCCAAAAAGATGACATGTGGAATAGGAAAGTAATAATGAGATTTGTAACTTTGGGAGCAAGGTGAATGAGGGAGCGACGGCTAGGTTAGGCTACGGTTAGGTGGGGTGGTGGGAGTAGGTGGGTTATCCAATTAAGGGGAATCACTTAAGGTGGCCGGCAGCTAGGTGGAGGCGGGGGAAGGGGAGTAGGCCGATGGTGGGATGGGGAGGTAGTCGACGGTGAGGGCTTTGGGAAAGCCGATGATTTGGGTGGGGTGTTTCGTGGTATGGAAAGGGTGAGGGAAAAGAAGGAAGAAAAGAGATACGAATAACTAGCCACAAGCCCGGACTCTTCCATGGCTGGTGGGTGATTCACTTTCGTCCCCAAGTGATTTCTCTCCCAAACTCTCTCAAGCTCTCACAAGAATTCAATATGCAGAAATTTCTTTATCATTCATTCATTACCTTTCAAAAGAAACCCTAAGGGCTATATATAACCTTAAACAATGTACGAGAAAATAAAAGACAACTTAGCCCTTTGGGCTTACACTTGATCACCCTTAAGTAAGGGGTAGAAAGGAAGAAAACAACTAAAGCAAAAACAAAAACAAATAAATAAAAACAAGTACATATGAAGACTTAAAAATATATCGACATGATTGTGACCGTAGATCGGCGACCACGCCTCTGATAAACATTCCATGCTTCGATGTCCCCATCATATAAGTTATCTTAGAGATAAATTAATAAAATTAATAGATATTATGATTTGTAAGAAAATAAATATTCTATCATTCAGGAAACTAAATATGTTTGACAGAAGGCTAAGGAGATTGATAGTTTAGGTTTTAAACTTTGGTATTCATGTAGAAGTCATACTAGAAATAGTGTATATCTAAAGATTATTATTGATGCTTAGATTATTAATATTATAAATGCTTATGCTCCTCAGGTAGATTAAGATAAGTGTTCAAAATTAAAATTTTGGAATAACTTTGAAGAATTAATACAAATAATACCTCTTGAAAAAAAAAAATTATCACATGAGATCTAAAAGGACATGTTGATAAAGTGGTAGAATATTTTAAAAGTATTCATAGTGGCTATGAATTTGGGGGGACTAATGAAGGTGATAGGATCATATTAAATTTTACTTTAGCTAATAATTTTGTATTGATAATACCTTATTTAATAAATGATAGGAGCATCTCATCACTCATAAAATTGGATATATTAAAACTCAAATTGATTATTTTCTTATAAAAATTAGATCATTCATATTGCAAATATTATAAAGTTATTCCTACTGAAAGTTTATATACCCAGCATTGCTTCTTAATTTTGAATTTTAAGTTGAAGAGGTAGAATATGAAAAATAAAGTAAAATATTATCCTAAAATTATATAAAGGCATTTAAAGAATACTAATAAAAATATTTTTGAAAATAAAATTCAAGATCTTAAGATTTTGAATGTACTTGAGCATGCTAATTTTGTGTGAGAAAAAGTTGTTATTAATATTAAGAATATTGTAAATGATATGATTGGAACATCTAATAAAAAAGTTTTTAATAATAAAAATAGTTGATGGTGGAATCAAAATATGCAAGAAAAGATAAAAATCAAGCAGCTTTTTTAGAAAAATTAGTTTATATATAAAAGCTCAAAATTTTGAGAAAGATATAAAGAGATTCGTAAGGATCCTAAGAAAGCAATATACGATGTAAATAATTTAGCTTTTAATGATTTATATAATAGATTAGATACTAAGAAGAGCAAAAGATATATATATATATATGACCTAAGAGGATAAGTTGCTGGATATGGATAAGTTGCTGGATGTGGAAAAGTCTTGTATTTCTAAAAAAAATTAAGCCTTTTAAAATTTCATGCATACTTGATTTGGAGACCTTTAATCAGCATGCAATGTATTAGAAATCAATTAAATTAAAGATTTAATTTCATTAGCTCTAGGAGCATTAATCTTACATAAGTTCAAGGCTAATTAGGAAACTCTCCAGACGCCAGCCTTACTTGCAAAAACTGAGTTACCCACCTATCTTTCATAAAGACTGGATAATATGGATTTTATATGCTTAGGAGGTTAGTTGACTTTCCTTTGGGCATGATATAAGCCTATGATGCATCAGCGAGGATATGTGTGTTAGTGCTATGTAGAACACTAAACCCACTCTAGATTTAGGGTTCAAGGCTACTAC